CGCACATTCGCCGATTATTTCATCGGAGTCGGACGACTCGGCCGATAGCTTCAGTTCGCTCCGCGTTGGATGCGGGAAAGGTCGTGTGCGTGGGTGAGCGTGCATCATGGATTCGAGTTCGCTGCTTGTCGAAACGTATATTTCAAAACCTATTTCAGGAAATTGAAAAAAGACTAGCGATCTATAAAAAGAACTTAAAAGAGTACTAAGATATATGAGAAGAAGTCTGTGAAGCAGTTGTTCCTAATTGGAATCAGCTTAATGCCGATGATAAAATAAAACAAGGTAGACATCAATCATTTTTATTTCTTATTAATAACCTAATTAGTAAAACCACTTTGTTATATTGACAGGCAATAGCGCCCGCCGGAGAAATGAAATATAACGACATTTTGATTTCTTATATTTACGCGAACACTACACATTGAAATAATACTAATTTTTACGGAATTTATCGCGTATATTTAACTTTTTTACCCGACGTTTCGAGAGCTTTACAGCACCCATGGTCACGGGAAGAACTGAGATGTTCAACGTCCAGCTGTCATAGTTAACCGCGGTTACCATAGATTAAAATTTTACTTTTGTTCCGATCTACACAGTATGAACTTATGGTATCATGGAGTCTTGCAGTTGTATGCTTGGGTTGGGATTTAATTTTATTTATTATAGGATCCCAAGCAGATGGTAGCACCCAGCCATCTTCTCTATTGAAATTAGGATGTTTTTTGATTTCAATAGCCTCGCGAATCATCCTTGGAAGGAATCGGTGTTCTTTAGCGAGGATTTGTGGTCTATCAAATCTGATGTAGTGACGGGGGCGATCCTGTACATGTTCACAGACTGCAGACTTCCCGGAGCGTCGATTCTTCACATCAGCTATATGTTCTTTGACGCGGGTTTTAATTGATCTTTTAGTTTGTCCTATGTAGGAGAGACCACATTCACAATCAAGCTTGTACACTCCTGCATCTTGCAGAGGGACGTTGCACTTAACTGATGGTAAAAACTGACCAATCTTCTTCGGCGGCTTGAAGTATGTTTTGATGGAAGCGCGCTTCAAGATGTAGCCAATCTTGTCAGTGACTCCTCTAACATATGGCAGTACAGCAGGTACACGCTCGACTGTGGCCGGCTTCACTCGTTCTCTGTGACGTAGGCGCGGGACCCGAAGCTTGTTGTCATGCAAAACTTGCTTGACATGTTGGAGCTCGGCAGCCAGGTGTTTACTGTCACAGATCCCTCGTGCTCTCTGAAACAAAGATTTACCCACGGTAGCTAACTGTGAAGGATGGTGGTGAGAATCACCGTTTAAATATCTATCTGTATGGGTCTTTTTTCTATACACAGTATGGCTCAAGGTGTTATCAGGATTCCGAATTACTAACACATCTAGAAAAGCTAAGGAATTGTTTGCCTCTAACTCCACTGTGAACTGAATTTTAGTATTTATAGAGTTAAGATGGTCTAAAAATGCAGTTACTTTATCTAAAGGTAGAATTGTGAAAGTGTCGTCTACGTACCGCTTGTAGAATCTTGGATTTATGGGAGAAGTAAGCAGGGCTTTCTCCTCAAAGTCTTCCATGAATATGTCGGCGACAATGGGAGATACAGGTGAGCCCATCGCCACACCATCTACTTGCTTGTAGAACTCCTCCTTCCACAATAGGTAGCCAGATGTAAGGCAGTGTCTGAGTAATACTGCATATTCTACGGGCATGTTGTTTTCTTCCAGCCTTCTAGTTACAATTGAGATGCAGTCTTCAACAGGTAAGCATGCAAACAATGACTGCACATCAAAACTGACCATAGTTTCATTGTCTGCCTGACGTAGGTCTTTAATCTCGCTGACAAAATGGTAGAAATCCTTTATGTGTGCTCTTGTATGTCCCCTGAGCGGTGAGAGTATTTTCGCTAAGTGTTGAGCCAATCTGTAAGTTGGTGAATCGATTTGGCTCACTATGGGGCGTAATGGAGCATTGGGCTTGTGTATTTTTGGTAACCCATACAACTTTGGTGATTTGGCGCACGTAGGTATTATCCATTTTACGTCTAGATTTAATTTTTCGGAGTGTTTCTTTATGAGGTCACTAGTTGTTTTTAGTGTGCTGTTTGTTGGGTCGTTTTTAACCTTTTTATAAGTACTTACATCCGACAAAAGTTCTTGTATTTTAGAATTATAATCCGACGTATCCATGACCACCGTGGCGTTTCCTTCGTCATGGATACCTCGGATTATAATTCTAAAATACAAGAACTTTTATCGGATGTAAGTACTTATAAAAAAGGTTAAAAACGACCCAACAAACAGCACACTAAAAACAACTAGTGACCTCATAAAGAAACACTCCGAAAAATTAAATCTGGACGTAAAATGGATAATACCTACGTGCGCCAAATCACCAAAGTTGTATGGGTTACCAAAAATACACAAGCCCAATGCTCCATTACGCCCCATAGTGAGCCAAATCGATTCACCAACTTACAGATTGGCTCAACACTTAGCGAAAATACTCTCACCGCTCAGGGGACATACAAGAGCACACATAAAGGATTCCTACCATTTTGTCAGCGAGATTAAAGACCTACGTCTGGCAGACAATGAAACTATGGTCAGTTTTGATGTGCAGTCATTGTTTACATGCTTACCTGTTGAAGACTGCATCTCAATTGTAACTAGAAGGCTGGAAGAAAAACAACATGCCCGTAGAATATGCAGTATTACTCAGACACTGCCTTACATCTGGCTACCTATTGTGGAAGGAGGAGTTCTACAAGCAAGTAGATGGTGTGGCGATGGGCTCACCTGTATCTCCCATTGTCGCCGACATATTCATGGAAGACTTTGAGGAGAAAGCCCTGCTTACTTCTCCCATAAATCCAAGATTCTACAAGCGGTACGTAGACGACACTTTCACAATTCTACCTTTAGATAAAGTAACTGCATTTTTAGACCATCTTAACTCTATAAATACTAAAATTCAGTTCAAAATGGAGTTAGAGGCAAACAATTCCTTAGCTTTTCTAGATGTGTTAGTAATTCGGAATCCTGATAACACCTTGAGCCATACTGTGTATAGAAAAAAGACCCATACAGATAGATATTTAAACGGTGATTCTCACCACCATCCTTCACAGTTAGCTACCGTGGGTAAATCTTTGTTTCAGAGAGCACGAGGGATCTGTGACAGTAAACACCTGGCTGTCGGGCTCCAACATGTCAAGCAAGTTTTGCATGACAACAAGCTTCGGGTCCCGCGCCTACGTCACAGAGAACGAGTGAAGCCGGCCACAGTCGAGCGTGTACCTGCTGTACTGCCATATGTTAGAGGAGTCACTGACAAGATTGGCTACATCTTGAAGCGCGCTTCCATCAAAACATACTTCAAGCCGCCGAAGAAGGTTGGTCAGTTTTTACCATCAGTCAAGTGTAACGTCCCTCTGCAAGATGCAGGAGTATACAAGCTTGATTGTGAATGTGGTCTCTCCTACGCGCCAAAGAACATATAGCTGATGTGAAGAATCGAAGCTCCGGGAAGTCTGCAGTCTGTGAACATGTACAGGATCGCCCCCGTCACTACATCAGATTTGATAGACCACAAATCCTCGCTAAAGAACACCGATTCCTTCCAAGGATGATTCGCGAGGCTATTGAAATCAATAAAACATCCTAATTTCAATAGAGAAGATGGCTGGGTGCTACCATCTGCTTGGGATCCTATAATAAATAAAATTAAATCCCAACCCAAGCATACAACTGCAAGACTCCATGATACCATAAGTTCATACTGTGTAGATCGGAACAAAAGTAAAATTTTAATCTATGGTAACCGCGGTTAACTATGACAGCTGGACGTTGAACATCTCAGTCCTTCCCGTGACCATGGGTGCTGTAAAGCTCTCGAAACGTCAGGTAAAAAAGTTAAATATACGCGATAAATTCCGTAAAAATTAGTATTATTTCAATAACGACATTTACTACCGTACATTATCCATGCTATTTCTTCCTCGGTTGTTTTCATTAATTGTTAAGTTATTTAGAGGACAACTGTACAGAATGTCTGTGAATTTAATACCATTTTTAGTTCGGACATAATTGTTAAGTACACAATTATGTCCACAACAATCTTTAATAATTCGAATACAAAAATTAAGATGAACATCAATTGGGCGGTGAAAAATACGCCACTTGTTAGCAAGAATGCTAAAAGTACATTCAACCATGCGTTGAGCTCTAGTAGGTATGTCTATAGTTGAAAATTCACTTGTTGTAGTTTAAATTTCTTTTTGAATAAGGGCGCGTAATATATGATTGCCGAGCCCAAACGCTTCATCGTCTACCACAGAGAATAGCATACTGCTTCCATCTTAATCGTTAGGTTAATGCCTTCCAGCAGGAATATTTAGCCGTTTCTCGGATAATCGTTTCCCCATTTCAGATGTTTTAAATATTTTTGAATCATTTGATGTTTCCATAAAAACCAACATCAATATAAACAAATTTGTAATCGGCATCCATCCAGACCATTAAAACACAAGAAAAGAATTTTTTGTAGTTAAAATATGACGATCTGAAATGTTATGCTTTATCATCCGTATGTGATTGCCATCTATCGCTCCAATGATGTTTGGAAAATTTGTGCGACCGTTGAACTCTTCAGCAATTTTAATTCAGTCATCTTCTTGTTCATTTTGTTATACAACGGTTGGAGTATGTTTCATATTTGCTCCCATGTAGTTTTTACAATATCTCGTATTGTAGAAGCTCCCATTAGATAATTAAAAGAGAACGCATTAAAGCTAGCTCTAGTTGCCAGATATCTGTAAGATATTGAATATAAGTTAATAATTTTCACGTCACGATGTTCAAAAAAATGGACGAATTTACGATCTTGTTTTTGTCGGGAACTAAACTACCAAAAAAGTACGAAATCAGGACAAGCTGCAACTAAGAGGCGTAAATATGTAACTTTAAACAGTTACTATTTTTACTTCCATGTATGAAAAAGGGACAATCGGAAGGCTGCCCAGTACCAGAGGGAAAAGATGATGAGGATGATGAAGAAGCTGCTCCTACGACTTCTAAAGTTATTACTGGAAACAAAAAAACTAATGTCCCGCCGATTCAAGCGTATGTTGATAAAGCATTAATAAAAACACTGAACAAGGAAAATACGATAGATGAAGATTTAAACTTTGCTTTATCTCTTGTACCCTCATTGAAGGATTTAACCGCAGTAGAAAAACTTGACGCTAAGATCACTATTCTTTCAATTTTTAAACAAATAAGACAAGCCGGACGTATTAAGGCTACTTCTCAATCAAGAGTACAACAACACAGTTACAACGTATTGCAACAACCTACGTACTCGTACTCTTTTCCTGTGTATCAACAATTGCAAACATTTCAGACCGTACCCAGTCCTATACCATCTGCCAATTAGTACGTTCAGTCGCCAGGCAACTCCAATGATACTGTGTTATCTTATATTTCTAATTCTACAGATGACTCACAATTGTAAGATTTATAAATTATATAATTTCATACAATGCTTAAATAATTAATAATAAATTATTACGTAAGTAATTTGAAGTTCTCAGAATACTTCCCAATGTGATTCTAGTTAATAAAAGCCTAATAAAAGTTAATTTTTTAAATAGCAATAAAAACTGTTTTACTTACCATATCGTTACGCTCAATTTCTCCTTTGCGGTTATAGTAACTCTTAACTATGTATTCTCTTTCGTAATTGAAGATCCACTTAATCTTATAAGTTTTCGTTAAATGTAGTAATTTACAATGAATCGTGTAAAACTTTCCTTGCAATAATCCATTTCTTTAGATGGCATGCACCCAATAACCTCGATTTATCTTGTAATTATTACTGGAGTGGTGCTTTTACTTAGATTGGTTAGTTTAATTTCTTTTTGTTTTAGAGTTTATATGTTGCTTAGTTTTTTTTCTCTTATAATGATGTACACCTGTAAAGACCATATCCTTTATCTAAAAATGTAGTATTTTGATTGTAACAATGTTTATTGATATTGTTGATGGTGTACCTATTTATCTATCTAAATAAATAAATATTTCTGGGCACCATTCCACGCGTAGTCTGAACTCTTCGCCAACTTCAGCAAAAGTATCAATCGGCCGACTGTTGGTTGGCTAGTCTGCGCAGCCATGTCCAACCCAACTGTTTTGTTGGCTCAGTGTGCGCACTAGCAGCCCAATGCGATCAAACTTTTGACCGATAGAAAGTAATAGGCGGGGACTACTGTGTAATTCTATTATAGAACGTTTTAATAACTGTAGGTATTTTTCAACTATGATCAACCATATTATTTTTTTATTATATTATTATATATTATATCAAAATAATAATAATAAAAGAACACAAACTGAAAGTTTCAAACAGTCTTCGAAGTTTGTAACTTTTCTTTAGCTTGCGACAGTCTTCAATCTTGCGAAATCCGAAAACTGCATATTTTATTCAATGACAGTGTCAAGCAAAAAGTGTCGTAGCAAAGTTTCTCTGAGATTGAAACACAATTTAATTATTAATTGTAAATTATCGTCCTTTGTAAGGAAAGATAAGAATAATGTTAAGAAATTCTCTTTCTTAGTAACTTAAGCGAGTATAACTTTTAACGCATTTATATTGAATATAGGTACTATTTATATAATTTATAGAATTTAATATGTAAGCTGTGATTTATAAATTTTACCATTAATTTAACTAAATTTCGATTATATTCTTTTTAAAAAAGGTATTTATTAGGGGACTGGCCTAAAATGTTTTTTTTCAACATATCAAATACTTGTTATAATGGAAATAACCTAAGCCTTGTAGTAAATTATTGAAGTTTAGCAAAAAGGAAGATAAAAATAATAACTAATGCTAACGGTTAAAAAATGACCTAACTCCATTATATCTCTTTTTATTAATATCAAAAGTAAAGTTATAGCCATCATACGTCCCATTGCTGCCGCCTCTCATTTCTGAGAGGGTATTGTATGGTAATTAGTCTGTTGGCGGATTTCAGATTATGTCCAAAAATTTTGTTTCTCGAAACATATATATATATATTACCTATCAAATGAAAGCTTTTTATTTTTAGACTTAAGAAATTAATATTTCGTTTGTCAAACGTCAATTTTTTGAAATAATCTACTACCACAATGATTTCTTAAATAAGCATGCCCACCTTCCATACATTGATTGACCTGTCACTTGATTCGTTTTACAGGACTCGTCTACCTACAAGTACTGTTGCATAAAATCAATTATTGTCTATAATAACATAATAACTTATCACCTTTTCATTTTGAGGCCAGGAAAAAATGCTATTAATAAAATAAGTTTCTCAGATCTCAAATAAGGTTTGAATGCTGTCACAACCTCAAAAACTATACGTTAATTATAATCAAATTCTTTCATAGTCTCTCAGAGAGTTGCGATCACTCAGAAATAAATCCCTCCTCAATGTCACAGATCACTATATATACTAGTCTACGATTCAATGCAATATTATCATCTGTACGCGGTCACAAATAGCAGTTATATTTTCGTAATATCTCGAAGATGTTGAGTTTTAAATACAACACGCACTATACTTTGTGAAAATTAGAACAATATAACTATAGTTCATTTAATTATGACTCAAGAAGTCGTCTTGACAGGCGACGCTTTCAGCCATCGAACTATATATTATCTTGGACGCCTTCAAATACATTATCAGAATCAGAGTAGTTTTCGTTATTCAAGACCTCTTCGTCTTCGCTTTCGGTTTCCCTAATAAAGTTACACAAGGTCACACAGCAATTAAAAATATTACAAGCAATTCTGGGTTGAACTCTAAATAATTTAAGCAAGGAAACTTTTCTTTCAGAATTCCAATAGTGTTTTCGATAACACGCCGAGTCGATTTATGAGCGTTAAGAAATCTGATATTTGCTTCATCATTGCCATCTATTACTATAGGAGTAATGAGCCATTCCTTCAGAGGGTACGCAGAGTCGCCAAGAAGAACCCCTTGTGCAATAGGTCTCCAGCCATTTTCAAATTGCTCATATAACTGACTGTTTCTTAAAACTCTACTGTCATGGATGCTTCTGGGCCAATTAGCATAGCAATATTAAAACTTTTTGTCAGGAACGCACACAACCAAACAGTTAATGGAATGATTTCCGTGTCGATCTACGAATACGTCTTCATGTTGATGTGGGGCATCAATTTTTATCAAGGTACCATCTAGACAGCCACAAATTAATGGCATTCCTTTCAACATAAGAAACTTCTGTACTACCTCCTGCATATTATTCGTCGTATTTAAACATATGTTACAGTTTATACATAGCATTCTCGTAGAAGGCTTCATAACGCTTTCCAACAAGTATAATAACGTCTTAGATCCCAATCAAAAAGCTAAATCGGTATCCGTATTACACAGGCCAAGGTAATCGTGAGTGGAAGGTATCGAAGTACGTGGAAAATGCAAGTTATAAGGGTATCAGAAAATCCAAAATTGCGCAGTACAAAACATGAAGGTTAGAGAACAGGAGAAAGATGGCCGTAGAAAATAGTGCCTCAGAAATATGGACACCATCAGTAAGGCGCTGCGATCACTAAGTGCAGTCAATAAACGTCATTTTCAGTCTATTTTTCCGATCAGATGCTCAACCACTTGCTCATCCACGCACAATAAAATATTTCTCCATTTTTTAATGTTTCTTCTTGTCAAAAATTATAAAATTACGGAGCATGAAAATTTTTTACGAAAAAATGAAATGAAAATTTGTACAATATTCAAATAACTTCATCTACTTGTACTCATAAACAGCTAACTTCGCAGTCACTACTTACCGACGTCAGTGCCGCTATGTATTCTACAATTTTCAAGGACAGGCGGGCTATACTTTAGTACGTAAACTCTGATTTTTCATTCCGTAGAATTCTGACATTTCGTAAGTGTTGCTACTAAAAAAGTTCTCCACCGAAAAAGAGACAAATTTGAACCATTTGAGGGCAATAAATAATAAAATGCTACGTATTTTTTATGTTTCACCTACAAAAAGGTAAATCTAAATATTTACTTATACAAGTCACCTAATACAAAAATAACAAATATTTCAATATCACGAACAATATATCTAATTAACTTTAATTACTTAATATTTTATTCTTTAGCTGGCATCACTGTCTACTAATTCCAGGTTTAAAAAACCTTTTAAAAAAATGTTAGCTGTCACGTCGCGTCTGTCACATTGATTGATTTTCATTCGACTTCTTTGAATGCTCGAATGCGCATGTGTTCTCGGTGTTTGCTGCTATTTGTTGTTATTATCTTGTTATATTTGTTAAGTTTCTGTTATTCTGTTAAGTTTTTTCTTGTTGACCTTTCGTTTTGTGATCGTTTGTTGATTTTTATAAACGTTATGGAGCCACAACCTGGCCCTTCCCGGGAAGCAGCCCCATCTGACAGAGCACAAGGCTTAGACTTTCTTTCTCCCAGAAAGAAGCGTCCTCGTGGTGCTTTTACGCCCAACGAAAAGACCATAATTCTAAATATTTACAAATATAATATAGAAAATTGGCCGCAAACAACTGATTGGAGTGCAACGGAATGTGCTAAAAAGACTTCTGAGATGACTGGCGTGGGTCTGTCAAGTGTCTATAAAATTACCAAAGAATATAAAGACACAAAAGAATTTCAAAAGCCGAAAAAGAGTGGACCTCAACTATCTTTCATACAAAAATTTGACGAATTCACTTTCGCCGCAACTCGACGAAAGGTTCACGCGTTTTTCTACAGGAACGAGATTCCGACTATTGAAAAGGTAAAGTTATTGCTAATTCTTTAACACCTCGTTGCTGACATCCCCCATTGTTTTAAAACTATACTTTAACCTGTGTTGCCTGTCTACATTTTAACTGTAATGTAAATGCTTATTTCAGATTCACCAAGAGATAACTGGTGATCCAGACATGCCTGTTATGTCGAAATCAACATTAAGAAAAGTATTGAAGCATTTAAATTTTAAATACACAAGTCGCAAACGTCGAAGTGCGCTAACAGATCGCAAGGAGATAGTACTATGGCGTCAAAAATACTTGCACCAAATTAAACAATATAGAAGAGAAGGCAGGCTTATATATTACCAGGATGAAACGTGGGTAAACGAAGGCAAGTATTGAATTATGTGGTAATTAACTTTTTATAACCTATCTTTTCTTCAAAGTATTAGTCGGAAATCGAATTCTGTACTTATGTAATACTTAAATTAACTTTGTTAATAAATTTTTGTTACCAAAATGAATAAATAAATAAAGAAATCCATGTTTACAGGTAATATTTTTCAATTTATATGCATATATAACTGTCCTCATGTATAAGTGAAATATTAAATATATTTTTATTTTCAGGACATACCGTCAATAAAGTG